TCTCTCTCTCTCTCTCTCTCTCTCTCTCTCTCTCTCTCTCTCTCTCTGACTCTGGTAGTTCCCTATGTGGTATCCCCAATGTGGGATGCTATGCTTCCTGCATGTATAAACCCCCTCCTCTATACTGGTAATTTCTCTCTGCCTGCCTGCCTGAATTAAATATCAAGGATGGGTACCTTTAAAGCAATGCAATATATTCATAGCTATGCTGAAACTGATCCAACAGTCATAATGAAAAAGAAAATCTAAGATTCTATCATGGTGAGGGGTTCCTGCTGTGCTTATTATTTTATTGGCACAGATTCTAACTAATTAGCCCATCACCTTTCTTAAAGCAACAATCTGGTCTTCGTTAGCTCTTTTTTTTTCACAGAAAAACAAGTATGAGTCTTACCTTGTACTTATGTAAAATTTCTCTTGTGAAGCCATACCTGAAAAACATATTTTAAACTATTAATTATTGCTAAAAGGAGAGCCATTGATGTCTCACTATTACCAAATAGCAGGAATTCAAGAAGCTACAGACTTCAGTGGTACTTAGCAGAGTCTCTCTGGAGCATTGTGAGAAAGAACAAAAGCAATCAATAGCACAACTTCTATTCTCAAGAAACCTAGAGTATAACCAGGGAAGAAAATAGATACTTGTGGAACAATGCAAGACTACTTAACACATGCGTACCGTGGCTATGTAAAGGCTACAAGTATTTTGAGAGGTGTGCAATGACATTTAGAGAAAGCTGTATGGAGAAGAATTTTCATTTAAAAAACATTGCTATGACATGGATCATGTGAATGAATGGTACTAAGGGGTTTAATAGAAAGTATCAGGAATTTTAATGCCTCGTTAAGAAAAGCTAAGGGAGAGTTTTCAATTATTTTTTTCTTGCTTTAGGATAATATTGTGTACCCTTTTCAGGTAGCCTTATCTCTTTAATGCTGGGATTAAAAATATGCAACACCACACCCAAATAATAATGTGTACTCTTCATGCCCAACAGGTAAAAGAAGAACAAAGCGCACTCACTATTCATTTCCATACAAACCACATCATGTCAGGTCTCTCCAGTATAACACTGTGTTTTTCAAGATGAATTCCCTCCCTGTACTCTGGTACAATGTGTACCAGAGGCATCACATTGTTAGACCATCCTGCCATCCTGCCATCTGTGGTGGCTTGAATGAGAATGCCCACCATAAGCATTCTCATAGATGTAATGTTTGGTTCCCAGTTGGTAGACTGTTTAGGAAGGATTAGGAGGTGTGGCCTTGTTAGAGAAAGTATATCAAGCCAGGCCTCTTCTCTTCTTTCTCTCTCTCCCTTTCTATCTCCTTGTCTCTCTGTCTCTGTCTCTGTGTGTGTGTGTGTGCACGTATGTATCTGTTTTTCTCTCTGTGTGTGTCTGCCTGTCTCTGTTTCTATCTCTCTTCTTCTGTATCTGTCTATCTTTGTGTCTGTCTGTCTGTATCTCTCCCTCTCCCTCTCCATCTCTCTCTCTGCTGCTGCTTGTGAATAATATGTAAGCTCTGCATGCTTTCAGCTTCTACTCAGCACCATGCCTACCAGCCTGCCACCATGCTTCCCACCATGATAATCATGGACTCACCCTCTGAAACTATAAACAAGCCCCAGTTAAATAGCTTCCTTTATAAGTTGTCTTGGTCATTGTTTCTAGTCATAGCAATAGAGACGTAACTAAGACAGCATCCTTACCTTTCTGGCCCTTTTTGAAACACTAAATACCATTGTCTGTACTATGCTTCTAGAAAACTTCCTCCCTTTCATTTTGAGAGAGTAAACTTTTAGGGTATTCTGAAATGACCTCACAGGTTAACTTCTTCCACATAACCTTTATTGTTAAGAGTTTTCCATATTCTGTCCTAGGCCATCCATTACCTTCAATTTCTTCCTTAGTGCTCTCACCCCTAGCTAGCTCGGCTTTCAATTGTTATCTAGTATCAGTTCATAGCGTGACACTCCAGGTTAGGCTTCGTTTTTATCTCTGGACCCATACTCAACAATACATCAAATAAACCTACCTCAGACTAAATCCATTCCCATTCAGAATGATGCTGTTATACCCTTAAACCCAAGCCTGCTCATCCTTGATTAATTCCTCAGTTAAGGCCTCCCTATCAAGTTATTGGTGCTTAACTGCTATTGCCTCAAGTCGAGGTCTATTTTGGCCATCGCCATTGCTATAATGCTAGTCTAGGTAGCATGCTACCATTTCTTCAACTACTTTCTAATTAAGCTCCCTGGAGCCATTCTTGGCCCTCCTCCAAATTGCCCTTCTTTTTAAAACAGGTGCAGTATTCTTCAATGATACTCTCTTATACTTAGATACATGCTCACATGCCTTCACAACACTCAGTCATCTTTTACATCTCCGATCCTACCAGGCCCAATCCTATTTGGGTCTCTATTGCTGTAACAAAACACCACAATCAAAGGCAACTTGGAGAGGAAAGGGTTTATTTCAGTTTCCATGTCCCAGTCATAATACATCATGAAGGGACCTCAACCTGGACATGGGAGAGCCCTGTTTACTGACTTGCTCCCCAGATTTGCTCAGCCTTCCTTTTTATAGCACTCAGGAGTAGGCTTCCTATAATACCTCTGGGTTCTTGTTCTTTACAGATTTTGCATTTGCAAACTGCACCTCGAGAATTAGAGCTGAAACTCTGTGCTTGAGTCAAGTGTTGAAACTACCCAGAAGACAAAGGGGATTTGCTGAGCTTTGATCACAGCGCCCAAAAGCCTAGGACCCAAAGCGGAAGGCATTTCCTAGCCTCCGTTGTTCTAGAACAAGTTGATTTCTGTTTGCCATAAAAAGGAAAGAAAAAGAAAGAAGGAAACATTTATTACCTACTGTGCCTTTCAGACAGAATTCACAAACCATTTAAGCAGTCTTTATCCCTCAAATCTCCAGTGAGTCAGATAGTCCAAATGCTATGTTACAGCTATTCTCAAAAATGTTTATGAGCAGCTATGCCAGAAGCAATTACCAGGACACACACACACACACACACACACACACACACACACACACAAAATGCATGCAGCAATGTAAAACACTGTGCTAGCTTCTGAGACTGAATTTGAAGCAAGCCAAAAGAAGCAACAGAAACTTCCGTCTAAGTCTGCTCATACAACCTACCAGACCTACAAACCTGACCTAGTATGCCTACCCAGCATGCAGTTTGGACTGTGAAGGGGAAGTATGACAGAAAAAAGACATAGGAAAGAAGGAAAAACATGACTGGAAGAAGGGCTTCAAAGCAGCTGCCACTTAGCTGGAAGACGGGGTTTGGTGAACGAGGGTGAGAACTTGCAGACTTTCCTTGCGATTCATCTTTTCTCTCCTTCTATACAGCTAACTTTACACATATCATCTGGGAAACTAAACAGAGCAGCAGTTCCAGAGGGAGAATAAAAGACGAAGTCTAAAGCCAGTGTTACCTTAGGTTCATCATGAAGTCTTCATGGTTCCCCCTATTCAGGTGCAGGTCAGTGGGGTAGACGAGAAAACTAACGAGCAGGATCATGAGGATCTCCATGGAATTGTTCCCTCGATCTACAAAGTCACCATTAAAAACATACGGATTGTTCTCTGAAGGCAGGCCATTCTGGGAAGGAGAGGGGAGAGAACAAGGAGTTAAAAGAATGTTCTTTTAAAAGTAGGACTATGTGTTTGTTCCTGCGGAAACAGAAAAGAAGCCCAGTCATTTCTTCCACTGGGAAGAATCCGCTCACTGGCTAGAGCTTCATCCAGGGCATATATCAGCAAGGCACTGGAACCAAAGAGTAACCTTGCAACAAGATTTCAGGGAGGATGGGGACTGCTTATTCGACCCATCACATGAGTTTTCTCTGGAAGGAGCTAGGATTTGTCCAATCAAAAGCAGAGACCCTCGTGGGGGAAGGGAAACTGTGAGAAGAGTATACAGTATGAAAAAATCCAATGAAAAAGAAAACACATAATGTATCTACCAAAAAAGTCTTATCCTACCCTTTTTTCTCTGAAAAGAGGGAAACTTCTACCCAGAGAAAAACACTAAGTTAACAAACAGTTGGAGCACTTTCATTCAAAGGGCCCTACATTAAAATTCTCTGGGTTGTAATTATCTCAATTTGCAAAGTGGAGATGACAATATATCACTTGCCAAATCACCTGTGATAATGGACATGTCAGAATTCAGGCAAGCTGGGCAGTGGTGCTGTACACCTTTGATCTCAGCACTCAGGAGGCAGAAACAAGCAGAGTTCTGTGAGTTTGGAGTCAGCCTGGTCTACAAAGGGAGTTCTAGGACAGTCAGAACTGTTACACAGAGAAACCCTGCCTCAGAAAAAACACAAAATCAAAACCAAAACCAAACAAAACAAAAGAACTCAGGCAAGGGGACTATTTTGTTAGCTATGACTAGGACTGAATAACAGTGGGCAGATATAACCATTCCTGGTGCCTCTACTCAGTATGTGTTCTGTTCTGATTGATTGGTTTATGATCAGGCCATATCAGAAATCAGCCCATTTGAGTATCACTCCTGAATAGGAGATACTATTTTTATTTGTTTCTTTATTGTTAAGATTGTACTTATAAGAACAGTATTAGTATGAAAAGAAACTGAGAGCCAGGCAAGCACTAGTTTTAAAATAGCTACTAGCTTGTTCAGCTCCTCACTGCAAAACTCTCAAACAAAACATGCATAATATGACATGGTTACATTTTCTCAGTGCCATACTTGATAAGGAAACAGCCAAGTGCATTCCTACTGCACAGCAAGATACAGTCAAATGTTTTGAAATGTATTACAAAGAGGAGAGTCATGTCAAATATACACTTTCCTCAGAAATGTTATCTTTGGGAAAGAATACACATATTATAATTATTTTAATGTTTCAAACTATTTTCAAATTATTCTTTTGTTAGATTTCAAACTAGGTAAGAAAATCGTATTACTTCATTTCAACATTCTACCATTTATGGGCATTTTAAATCATACATCGTATTATAATAAGTAATTTAAAACAATACAGGTTAAAATACATGACTTAGGGGATTCCAAAAATTATCTTCACAGTATAATGTTCTCTGGAGGTAAGTGGGGGAGGTATGAAGTGGCATATCATATAAGATGATTAATATCACAGTCCAGTTTAATGTATAACACAGGTATCTTTGAGAAAGCCATTTAACCTTTCCTTCATCTGAAAAATGGAAATGAAACCCCTCTTTAATTACCATGCAATAATATTTAGGAACTAAACATTATATGTACAAACAATTCCATGCAAATCATAAACACAAATAAAGAGAGTCATTAATTATGATCTCCATGCTATTTCTAATTTTAAGAGTGCATTATTTAATATTTTATTTTTAAACTTTCTTTTTATTTATTCTTTGTGTCTTTCACATCATGCCTCCTGGTTCCCCCATCTCCCTCCCCACCCCTGCCCCGCAGAATAAGACAAAATAAAGTTTAAGAGAAAAAAAGGGAATAAAAGGAGGAAAAGAAAATCTTGTCATAGAAGCTGCAGTGTGACACAGTGAGCCATGCAGTAAACCCTTTATCCATACATTTTTACATGTAAGCATTCATCACAAAAAAAAAAAAACCTCACTGGTCTGGTTCAAGTCCCTTGGTCTCTACTACACCATCAACACTGGGCCCTCACTGGGACTCTTCCTGGACATCCATTGCTTGTCTGTGTTGTGGAGGTCCTGCAGCCCTAGGTTCACAGGAATGACCCCCTCCACCTCATATTCCAGCAGATCACAAATGGAGTGGATATTGGGGCAGGGCCAACACAATTCCTTGGTTCTGGGCCTGGGCAGTTGCAGGGTTGGTCAGCTCCCCCCGGCCCCCCCCCCGTTACCACCAGGGTGGGCTCTCCAGCATTGCCCTGGCTACTTCACCCTCTGCAGTGATGAGCAAGGGGTGTGGCCAGTTCTCCAGCTTTCACATCCTCAGGGGCGGTTCTCTCACACCTACACCTTCAGGGCCAGCTCTACAATGTAGTCCAGGTGAGGCATCCGGGCCACGCTCCCAGGTGCTGCAGCTGGTGAAGAGCAGGGACAGTTCTGCTCTTATGACGTCAGGGTCAGCTCTTCACCTGCCTCAGGTGTTGATGGGTGGTGGCAGGGGTGTAGAATATTTTCTTAGTGGGGCTCAGATAGTGTAAACTGTTACAAAAATATAAGCTACACTCATCAAAACTTACAGAGAGAGAAGGATTCGGTACCTCTGATATTCGTCCTTTCCCCAGCCTTCAGCTGGTTAGAATAAATAGCTGGGAGGACTGAGACTCTACTGAGATGTAGCATCTCTGGAAGAGGTTAGGGGACAGCAACAGAGAGTTCTGAGGCAAGCACGTGGAAGGACTGAGCCTGAAGGAAAGAAGGAACCTATGACAAAGAATGACTGCCTCACAGGAAGAGGACAGTCCTGGTTGCACTTTAGGGAATGTTGGATCTTACTAGGAAAAGAGTGGGAACTGCTTTCAAGTAACAAAAGTCAAAACAAAGAGAAACTTTATTTCAGAAGAAAATTGTAAGACACGTATGAAGCATAAAAGGTTTCAAAATTGATGGAAAAGGCTGCAGAAATGGCTCAACAGTTAAGAACAAGTACTGCCTAATACAGGGACCAACCCAAAACTGGACAACATACGGAATGAGACCTTGAAATATTCTGTGCTAAATGGGATGACTTAATCAAAGCCCTTCCCTCAGCGCTCAGGAACTTTGCAGAAGAGGAGGCAAAAATAGATTCTGAGTCAGAGAGGATGGAGGACACCAAAAGAAACAAGGCCTTCTAGATATAACAGGACTAATGTACATATGAACTCGCAGAGACTGTGGCAGCATGCACAGGTACAAGCCAGACAGCATTCTGGCAATGAAATGGGGAAGAGGTCATGAGCTCCCATCCCTAACCAAGAAGCTATTCCCAGTGGGCAACCTCTTACAAAGGAAAAACCAGTTTTCTCGAATAAAGTCTCATGGGGTATAGAAACCACACTTAAATATAGGCCCTGGGCCCAGCAGTAGATGGCCAACACAAAGCAAACTCAATGGTGGGTTTGTAGATATCTTTTTTGCCTCATAATACTTTCGGGGAGGGGGGCAACTTTTATCTTACCTTATTTTTTTTTCCTTTGCATAGTATGGTTTCCAATGCTGTGCATATATATATATATATATATATATATATATATATATATATATATATATGTGTGTGTGTGTGTGTGTGTGTATGTGTGTGTGTGTGTGTACATATATATTGGCGTGTGTGATGTGTATGTGTTTCTCATGCTTTTTCTTTTTTTCATATTCTAGTCCTTTTTCTTTCTGCCTGTTTGTTTTCTAAGGAGAGAGAGAAAGAAGGCATAGAGTTGGATGGATGAGGAGGTGGGGGGAATCAAGGAAATGAAGGAGGGGAAACTATGATCAGAATATAGTGCATGAAAAAGAATATCTTCAATAAAAATTCAAGTAAGAAGTACTGTTCTAACAGAGGACCCAAATTCTTGTTCCAGCACTACATCCAGTGGCTCACTTGCAACTCCAGCTGCAGGGGATATGATGTCTCTGGCCTCCAAGGGCACCTGATTTCGACTACATAAACACACACACACACACACACACACACACACACACACAGAGAGAGAGAGAGAGAGAGAGAGAGAAAGAGAGAGAGAGAATGTAAATAAATCTTAAAATTTGTGAGATTAAAATAAGATATTTAAATTTAAAAAATTAATGGATTAGAGATAACTAAAGAGGAGTTGAAAAATATTACTGACTTGAAAGAGCAAATAGATTTTTAAAAAGTAAAAATGGCAGAATTCATAAAGAATAAATAGAAGCCATGCATGGTGATGTATGCCTAGAATCTCAGCATTTGGGTGTGAGAAAGAGGCGGGAGTAACAGGAATTCAAGGTCATCCTTGACTACATACTGAGATCAAGGCCTGCCTAAGAAACATAAGGCCCTCAAAAGAATAAAAAGAAACAAAAGGAAAAAGAACAAAGGAATGAAGAAAAATAAGAATACAGAAAAAAAGGGGGAGGTAGGGAAGGAGAAAGAGCTGAAAAACCAAGAACTAATATACTAATAATAGGCATTCCATATTGGAAGAGAACAGATGGAGAATAAGTAATTAAAATAATGCTAAAAGAAATTTTCTATGACTTAAAACTAGAGTGATGGCTCAGTGGTTAAGAAAGATTGTTGCTTTTGCAGAGGATTCAGCACCCACATTGAGCATTTCAAACCACCTGGAACTCCAGAGGAAGAGAATCCAATGCCTCCTTCTGGCCTTTATATGTATCCATATTCATGTGCATGCACAGATGTGTGCAGACACACAAACAAACAAATTAAAAATAATTTTTTAAAAGAAAATTTCATGTTTTCTTAACATTAAAAGAAAATTTAATGTTTGAAAGAGCTCATTACTCTTAGATATAATAAGGAAGAAACTATTACTTGTTAAAGGCCTTAGAAGATGCCAACAAAAAAAATAAATAACAAAAGGGGAAGAATAAGCCTGATATTATTCACTGACCATGTGACATAGAGGAAGGCAGAAGATGTTAGAATAAAATCTACAAATTAAA